TGCCGACGCAGATGACGGCGACCATGAGATTCAGTCCGAGCATGACGTCGCCAGGTGATTGTCGATGAGGACGATGAGGATGAGGACTGAGCATAGGGGCGTCACGGCGGGGCAGCAGGGCAGCGTGGCAGCAGCACGCCATGTACAGTGTATAGCACAGGAACGAAAAAAGTCTAGGGGTCCAAGGAAGCGATCGGGGTGTTCTCGTGGTTTCGACAGCAAGTAGCTTGAGGTTTCCTCGTCTTCACGTCTGACGAGACGTTGCATTGGAAGCTCAGAGGCACGATAGTCCAGGCCGATGAGCGCATCAATCTAACGGGCATTTTCAATTCCTGCGAGCCTGGCTGAGCTAGCTCGTCCAGCAGACAGCGAGTAGCCACTGGCAGCAACGCAAACCGCAGGAGCTTAGGGTTTCTGGTCACTGTGAATACAAATGGAAGCAGAGCATCATCACATGTCGGCCAGGGGAAGCTCAGCAGCCAAAGCGGGGCGGTGGGGGAAGCATGTGCTGTAGCTACAGTGCTGGCCGACCTAGGTACCCAGTACAGTACCCAAGGTACCTACCCTGTAGGTAGGAACCAACAGCAGCTGCAGCAATCGTCAACAGCCTTGGAATGATGCAGCACCAAGCCACCTCTCGCATCCTCGGCTCCCCAAGGCCCGCGATCCTCGCTCCTCGTCTGTTCACCTCTGCACAAACTGTGATTATCCATACCCGAGAGTCCTATCAGATGGTCGACGGCACACCTGCTATGCCATCATGGGGGTAGTCCTTACGTTGGTGTTTGACGTGGTGCGCTTCTGGCACAGAGTACGGCTCCCTTCTCGTCCCCTGCCCCTCCTCGATCCCCATGTCCTTGGCTCGCCGACCCTGTTGACCAACGACGCCAACTGACACTCTCCTACCTGCAGAAACTCAAGGAATGGTACGCACGAAAGAGCCCCGTCGAGCTCTGGCTCGACCTGCTCCGCAACGCCGAGGCCTTTGAGGACTGGGAAGAGGCCGCCCTCCACCTCGACAACCTCCTGGGGCTCGACCTCTGGCGCAACAACCCGACGTCCAAGTACTACGACTACCGCCTCATCCACGAACGCCTCAACTCCTTCCTCGAGGCCAACGAGGACGCTGACGTCAACCACCTCGTCAACCTGCTGCGCTCCGGCCTCGTCCGCAACCTCGGCAACATTAGCTCGCCAAAGCTCTACAACCGCGCCTTCGCCGGCACAAAGTACCTCATCGAAGAGTACGTCACCCACGTCGCCGAGGCCGTCGACGATGTGACGGCCCTGCCGACGACGCCGCCCGCCGTCGAGTCGCCGTCGCGCAGCGGCACCGGCAACACTGTCAACAGCACCAGCAGCAACGACAAGGGACGCCCCCCGACGGCGACCATCGTCAGCGCCGCCGCCGCAACGCTGACGAACCAGACCAAGCTCGACTTCATCCACGACACGCGCCAGGCCTTTGGCCGCAGCACCCTCGTCTTCCAGGGCGGCGCCATCTTCGGTCTCTGCCACCTCGGCGTCGCCAAGGCCCTGTTCCTGCGCGGGCTGCTGCCCCGCATCATCACCGGCACAGCCACCGGCGCCCTCATCGCCGCGCTCGTGGCCATCCATACCGAGGAGGAGCTGCCGGCCGTGCTCAGGGGCGACGGCATCGATCTGTCTGCCTTCTCCCCCAAGGCCGCGGCTGACGACGGGTCCGTCGCGAAGCAGTCGTTTGCGTCGCGGTGGCAGACGCTGCTGCGGAGGGGCAGGCGGTTCTGGAAGGAGGGCTACTTCCTCGACGTCAAGGTCCTCGAGGACTGTGTGCGGGCCAATGTTGGCGACCTGACCTTTGAGGAAGCCTATAACCGGAGCAAGCGCGTCTTGAACATCACCGTGGCCACGGCTGGCCAGGGCGGCGTGCCGACGCTGCTCAACTACCTGACGGCCCCGAATGTGGTATGTTATTTGCTGTGATGTCCAGACCGAGACCCTTTTTCTTTCTTGTCCGATTTCAAAGAAAAAGAGTCCATACTGACACAGACAGCTCATCTGGACGGCAGCCGTGGCCTCCAATGCCTCGTCAGCAAGCCTCTACGGCCACCGCGAGACGACGGTCCTCTGCAAGGACGCCCAGGGCCACATTGTCCCGTGGGCGCCCGCCAACACAATCGACTTTCGCCACTGGACGCACGTGTCCTACTCGGAGCGCGAGTCACCCCTGCTACGCATCGCCGAGCTCTTCAACGTCAACCACTTTATCGTCTCTCAGGCCCGGCCCTACCTCATCCCCTTTCTGCAGAGCGACATGCACGGGCCCTCGCTCCTCGAGACGCGCAGCAAGACGACCACGTCCGTCACGGCCTTTCTCGTCCGCATGGTCGGCCTCGAGCTTCGCCACCGCCTGCGCCAGCTCGACACGCTGAAGATGCTGCCGGCCAGCATCCGCCGCTTCCTCGTCGATGAGCGCGTCCCCGGCGCCGCCCTGACCCTCCGTCCCCCGAGGTCACGGCCGGCGACTTTGTGGCGCCCTGCTCGGAGACGCCCACGCGCGAAGACGCCTCGACTACTGGATCCTCCGCGGCGAGCGGCAGGCGTCTGGCCCGCCGTCGCCGGCCCTGCGCGTCCGTGCGGTGGTCGAAAAACAAGCTCGACACGTCCTACCAGAAGGTCAGGCGCTTCAAAGCCGGGGGCCTGCGGCGGAAGGGCTCCGTCGCCGGGCCGGGCAGCATGGAGAAAGAGGCTCTGGGCGGTGGGGGGAGGTAGCATGCGTAGCAATGCGAAACTTCCAGACGCAAGCGCTCGTTACCACAGAGTATACTGTGATATCCATGTCGAGGTATCTGATATGCGGACTGCCTGTACGAGGTTCGTAGGGTCCTTTATCGTCGCCGCCCAGCGTCTCAACCTGGCGGTCGTTGTCCGCGTGTCTCGAAGACGGTGTCCTCTTGGCAGCCCAGCTAGGTTCGAATGCCGCCGCGGTGTGAGCGTCACATTGGCTTCGTACATGCTCACCCTAGAGTGCCGTTCGTGTCGACATTCGAAGAACCGGGGGGCTCGTGGCCAGCGTGACAGGTGCCGAGCCCACAGTCAAGTGTCATCGTCATCATGGCCTTATTCATCTACCCGATGCTCGTTTCCCTGTCACATGCATCAAATGTGCCTATTACCACACTTCATAATGATATGCCTAACACTAAATGGCACCTGCAATGATGATAGCAAATTTATCATCATTAGCCGTGAGCATACTCATAGATCTATACAAGAAGGACATAGCCAAGATTACTATAGTAATGCTCATCCATATTTCATAGTAGCCTGCTTATAATCGTGAATATTTTATTCCTAGCTATGAGCATGCTTATAGAATAATACGAGAACAATATAGCTGAGGCTACTATAGTAATGCTTATCTATATTTCATAGTAGGTCGCTGATGATAGTAAATTTATTATCATTAGCTATGCGCATACCTTTCGATCTGCATGAGAAGAACATAGCTGAGATTACTATATCGATGATGATCTATATTCATCATAGTCTATTGATGAGGTTACTGCACTCAGCTTGAGGTCTACCTCTTCGAATATAATATCCATCTCGCTGGCTAACGTTGGCGCACGATCACAAACCAAGCCGAAATCGAGACGCATGGGTAAAGGTGCAGAGCCAAGGCCTAGAGCAACATCGAAACCGCTAGCTCGTGGTGGATTTGACGGGCCACCTGGGCTGAGTTCGATCTCGAGATGCCACTCTTGGAGGGGCTCGCGGAAGCTCCTCCAGAGTCGTTGTGCGCACGACTTGTGATTCCGATAGGTCCTTTTCAGACTTCAGTAACTAGCGTGTGCCCCTTGTTCATCCGCCTGAATATCTTGACGAGGATCATATACTTGACTCTGGTAAATGCCGGATAATGCCACCATGAAGGCAACAATGGTGAATGGGCCCACACAGGCGCACATATGAGCCACGCAGACACTGAAAAGAAGTATATCGCTGAATGCTATATGAAGAAACTCATCGAGAGGCTCAAAATCACCACCGAAATCCGGGATCCGACCAAAGATGGAATAGACACCTCGGCGCCGACAGAAGACGACCAGAACCATGACGCGACACAGCCACCCACCCCCAGACTTACATTCCTTCCCCACCACTGCTTCATCCCGTCGCAAAAGCTCTCTTACCGCCCGAATTCCAGGTGCGGCACAATCACTGGTCCGTACTTTGTCGGTGCCGTGAAGGCTCCGTCACCTTGGACGACAAAGTCAATGGCCAAACTCAGTTTGTTGAGCCCCTGCTGCCCTCCGTTGATGACGGACCCAGCCGAGGAGAAGTTCGACGAGGCTACAGCCTCGGGGTCGTAGGCTACGCAGGCAATATAGTTGCGACGGCCCATGAGCTTCTTCAGCTCGCGGGGGGAACCTGACGCATCGGTGTGGAAGATCTCCATCATGTCCTCCTTGGTGTCGGTCACCTCATGGTTAGACTTGTGGCCGTTCTGGGGCACGTAGAGAGACTTTTGATTATGGAGCAGCTTGAGGATGTAGTTCTGAGCTGGTTGAGCTACGATAGGAGAGGTGATGACCTGGTACATTGTCTTGTGGTCGCTGGGGTGTGACGGGTCGTGGACGAGACCGGCACCAGCACAGCTGACATCTGATGAGAGTTAGCAGTGATCCATCGCGAATCAATGTGCGTGAATTACCTCCAGACAAGAATGTCATGCGCACGCCCTTTTGCTGGGCAATGCCTTGCAAGGTTCGGATGAAATAGGTCCTCTCGAGGTCCTTGGTCTCATGCGTCCACATGTCCTTGAGCACCTCAGCGAGATCGATCTCGCCGAACTGGTTCAGTACACTGCCCATGAGACCACCCTTTCCGACAGCTTTCTTCACCTGCGAGAAACCGGATGCGACGACTTCCTTGCCGCCGACTATACCAGCTACAGAGCTCGTCACCTTGCCGAGCACGTTGTAACCAGAGTTGACCACCTTTTTGCCGGTTGTGACAGCTGTGGCCAAACTCTCCACTGCTTCCAAACGCGGATAAACAAGCGGTACAGACACCAGCCATATACAGTGCTGTACGCTGGGAGGTAATGTAGCGACCTTGGGAAAGATGCCCTGATATGTCGGGCCAGCCATTACGCGGCTCTGGTTTCTTTCCGACCGACAATCAGGTCCAACAACGACCACAGCCGGCCCAAGGTACTTGACAAAGTGCCAGCCTTGACCAGTGATAGTAAACAGGTCGAGATCGTTGCTGACGTTGCGGAGGATTTCAACAGTCGTGTGGTGCTGGAAGAGAAGATACATCTCAACGGCAATGCGGCCAACGTTTTTGAACATTTGCGACTCTTGCATATACGGGGGATATGATCCGTAGCCGTCAAAGCTGAGAAGGGTTAGGTCTAGCATATGCAAGGAGGGGAAAGCAGTAGCTTACATATCGTGGTCGTCAACCTGCAGAACGTGAGGGATCTGGGCGAACGCCTCTCGCAGATACGGCTGGTCAAAGTGACTTGTGTAATAGTGAAAGTATGCGTGGGAGACATCTTCCTCGTGTCGTGCGGTCCAGGGTGCCTTCTTTCGGTTTTCCTTGCCGCTCATGGCGAGCCACTGCTTCAGCAATGGCACCTCCTTCCATAACCTGTCACCATAGATCTGATCACCCAGGCCAAGCTGAACATGAAAGCCTCCGCAGTCAATGTTCTTCTGGAGTACATCCTTCCACATGAAACCGACGCCACCGAGCTTCGCCCTCTCGGCTTGGTTGGTTGTTGCAGCAAAGTCATTATTGGAATGAGCAATGAACCTCCAGCCCGTCTCATACCGGCCCGCAATGACGAATTCGTATCGCGTGCAGCCTAGGTGAGACGTGACGGCATACGTCCATCTCTGGGTGCCTCCTTCACCCATTGGCAGCTCAATACTGTACTTGTAGAAGGACCATCGCTGGTGGGTGAAGATGTTGTGAGGCTGCAGTTGGCGCGGGTTCGGTGAAAGGTCCGCACTCAAATGCAGGTGAATCGTGGGCGGTTGAGGCGCATCTGTCACAATGAGAATGCTTCCCAGCCACAGCCCACGCTCGATATCCATGTTGCAGTAACGCAAATATGGCCCAAAATACACCCCATTCGTCGGCTGAATCTTGAACATGTCCACTCCGGCGCTCGGAGGCGGTCCAGAAAAGCCGGCAGCAGATGGTGTCTGAGAAGCAGCAACGCTCATGATGCTCTCAGCATATCCCGGCGTCTGCGGTGAGAACATGGGTGACGCCATGGGCTGTTTGCCAAACATCGGGGAAGCGAGAGGATTGCCATAGGTGGAAGCTGTCGGTGAGAGCGGGGCCGACTCATGGTGAATCGGGTTGGGACCCTTGGGAAACTCCCATTGCGTAGCCTGGCTCGCTAGGTGGATGTAGTAGTACTGACCCGAGTTCTGGTCGAGATGAGCGATCCAGCCCTCAGGAAGGGGAGGCGGCGAGCTCGGGCCGGCTCCTCCCTGGAAGCCAGGAGTCACTGGCGTTTGAGCTTGCACGGGCTGACCGTTTTGTAGCTGTTGAATTTGCGCTTGTTGATGCGGCTGCTGCTGTTGTGCCTGCTGCTGCTGCTGCTGCTGCTGCTGCTGCTGCTGCTGAAGTTGTTGAGGTTGCTGCTCGAGAGGTCTAGGATCGTTGGCGAAAGCAGGATGCCCGGGGTGTTGCAATGCGGGCGAGGCTAGCCCGGCCGCTTGAGGCCCGACGCTCGCGGGCTTCTTTGGGGGAGATTGCGCCGCACTGGACGAGGGAGCCGGCGTAGAGTTTGTACTTGTCGGCTGAGGGCGTTGCTTCTCGGCAGGGTACGCGTTGTTGCGGCCCGGGTTGACACTGGAGTATGCGGGCGGCGGGTCATTGTGACCAAGCCGCTGGAAGTCTTGCTCGAGGACGCTGACTTGCAGAGCCGGCTGGTCAGACTGGGCCGCTTGCTGGGGTGGCGGGCTGAAGGTAGGCTGGGTCGGACTCGCGACAGGGTTGGAGCCCTGGTACACGGTAGGAGGGCCATGGGGCTGGTTGTCGGGCGACTCGGTCGGCGTCCAAGGTCGCGCTGGGCCGCGGGGCGCACCGCCGTATTGCGCGAGTCTCTGGGAAGCCGCAGCGCTCTGAGCATGCTGAGCTTGCAGGCTGGTCAAGGTGGCGGTACCCGAGATTCCGAGGCGGCGTAACGGGCCTCGATGCTCGCGGGTATGACACAGGTTCGACATGGGGTCTCGGGCGGAGGAGGCGAGCCCCGGCTCGCGCGGGTCGTCGACGTTGAGGCGGTTGAGGCAAAGCGGTTGACGCTGTTCTCGCTGCTAGGCATCCTCAGTCTCTCTGGGTCTTGCGCAGGGCGCCCGTGAGACAGGTTGGAAGAGGAGCCGGAGGAGCTGGTGGTAGAGCCAGGGGCGGGGTAGTATGGCTTCTTTGTGTAGCTCGGATAATTCGTTGTAGCAGCGACCGGCGCGTGCTGTTCAGACGGCTTCAAAGGCTTCGCAAACAAGCCACCCTCGTCACCGTCAGGGCTGGCGGGATCTGTCAAAGGGCGGGGCGCTGTGCCACGCCTCTCAGCCAAGGTAGGGCTCTTGGTCTCGACGGGGCTGGTCAGGCGAGGGCTCGTGTCGTTGTAGTCAGAGCCATAGCGTTTGGGGGCAGCAACGGTAGGTCTGACGGGCCGAGTGCTGGGCTTCAGATCGTCGTCCTCTGGGTACGGCAGCGGCGCAGCGGAGCTTGAGGCACCGGGAGGCAACGGGAAAGAGTGCTTGGATGCCGGGGTTAAAGACGAGGACGATGGCGGCGGCGGGTATCTGAAACGCTCTGATGATTGCTTCTCAGCAGGAGGGCTTTGAGGTTTGAAAATGCGCAGAGGTTCTACGGTAGGGCTGTCGCAGTTGTCCGAGTCGGCGGGCTTGCTGAGGAAGAGCTCCTCGTCGTGGGCACTGCGAGTACGCTCCATGATGAGAGCGGCGACTGGCTGTGCCTGCTCACAAGTGTCTCACGCAGCTTGCGCAGGTACGCGGGCAAGATGCAGCGCAGAATGCGATGCCGAGCTCAAAAAGAAAAAGTTATTTATAGGAGCCTAGAGGCGGTCGCTTTTGCGGCCGGCCCAGGTGTCAGGTCTGATGCTTGTGGTTGCGGACTGCGAAGCCGAAGCAGGGCGGGGAGAAGCGGGGTTTGTTGGAGTCGTGTCTTGTCCCACTGAGGTCGCTGTGCTCGGCTTGTTCTAGATGGCTTCGCTGGCGAGCTGCGACGACGTCGTCGTCAGGAGCGAGAGACAAAGATGGTCAGGAAAGAGCGAGACGACGCAGAAACGCGAGATGGGTAGAAGGAGAGAAAAGTCGCGACCTTAGGAATATGAACGTGGCCGACCGACCGACGGGATGGGATGGGGAGGGGGGTAGGGCCAGATCTGAGAGGGCCAAGTGTGCTGCGGGAGACAGGGATGGCCGGGACCTTCGACAGCTCCAGGGCGCATATTCGATTGCTGAGTGACTGGCCTTGTCCAGGACCCCCCGTGCGAACCGTACCCATGATGGTACCCAGTTCACCATTCAGGTTGAGCCGCGCAAGCTTCAGCGGCACTGACTGGCTCCTGGCTGGTTGATGCAAGTCGGTGGGAGGCGAGTAGAGGCATGGTGATTGGGCGGTTGCGATGGGCGCTTAACGAATGGGACCAGGAGTTCAACGGCAAATGACAGCTGCGTGATGGGTGTCCTAGGCTCTGGACCGGCTGGGCTGTGTACTGTGACTCCCGGCTTTTGGCTCCCTTGGGCAGTTGTGCAAGCGCCCGGCCCATCCCGGAGCACGTGGATATGGCTGTTCGTGGTTGGCGGACATGCTAGGTAAAAAGTAGGTGTGGACATTGGACGCTGAAGCTGTGCGAATGAACAGACGGTCATGTTGGATAACTAGGTCGATGGAATGAGGTTGTCGTTGAAAGAGGAGATGGGACGGATACAGTTCAGGGCAAATCGAAAATCGATGCGGTCAGTTCAGAAGTCGATGAGAAGTTCGGGGCAGGGACATGGGGCAAGGAAACAGCTTGGGGCAGGGGCAGCTAGGTGTGAACAGGGGAGG